ACCATGGGCATAATACCAACAACAATGAAGACGCCCATGACCGCATCCGCCACATCCTCACCTACCACACCGTCAAGGGATCCTATCCCATCGATAGACTCTTCCACTCGCCTACAATCCCGACTCATATACCTACTGAACCTAATTCCAACTCCCTCCCGCAACGCATCACCGTCCGTCCAATCATAACGCGCAACCTCATGCTCAATTTCCATAGTCGCGTCATCTCCCTCGATAAACACGCCTCCAATGGCGTCCTTTATCACATCGACTCAGTCCTCCTGCCTCCTCCTGCTGCCCTCACTTTACTTGACATCATCCCTCTTGAGTTCAGCACCTTTACACTAGCCCTGTACAAAACCGGTCTGGACAGGGTACTTAATACCTCCATCACCAGCAGAAACCAAAACCTCCAAAGCCTCAACCTGCAAGACAACGACATCAGACACACACAACTACCCAAATCATCCCCACATAAAGAAAAAGAAAAGAAAGGAGAGGGTGGAGGTTTAACCCTCTTCCTCCCCACCAACTCCGCCTTCAGCGCAACATTCACCCCCCAAGCCCTCGCCTTCCTCTTCTCCCCAGAGGGAAGTACATACCTCTCCGCAATCATTAAATACCACTTCGTGGTTGGTGAAACGCTATACTCGGATACATTGTACACGAAACACGGGGATATAGTCCCCCTTCCATCGAGGGATGTATCTCATCTAGAGATGGGGAGTTTATTACATGGAGTTCGCTCACACCCTAGTTATGATGGTAGTGATGAAGGAAAGGCGGAGACCCTTTTCATCGATGCAAAACGCCACGGCGCGTATCCCTTTCTCCGGGTGAACGGGTACCAGAGCATCAAGACGATGGATTTGTTATCGGTGGAGGGGAACATGCATGTTTTGAATGAGAGGGTGCTGGTGCCGCCGAAACGGGTGGGCGATGGGGAGAAGTATGCGGTTGATCCGAGGGAGAGGGAAGATGGGTATTTGATGGGGGTGGAGGAGGTGAGGGAGAGGTTGGGGGGGTTTTTGGTGGGGGGATGATAATTATGCTTCCAGGGGTGGGTTGTAAAGTTGGAATTATGATCTGGTTATAGATATGATATGTGGTCGTGGTTCTTTTCTTTTTCTTGTTATATACTCTATTTAGTGGTGTCATTGTTCTTGTCTTTACACTACACTGAATATTGGAATGATAAGCTGGAATGTGAACTTCAATCTCATACATTTCTAACTATGGCGTATCTGTCTTAATATTCTTCTTCGTCACCGCTGTATAAACGTGCCCGTGATCCATCATCCACCCATCAATATCACTATAATCGATAGTGTGAGCAGTTAATGATATCTTCGGCAGTCAAAATAGTCAATGTAGACATATCATATCCTCGCTGGAACATAGGAAACATATTCCCCTCCACCATGAGTCAAATCCAAGAATATCCACCCTCCCATCCATCCATCTGTCATGTAAGAATAGCCCAGCCGGAGCTTATGACACACACTCATAACATACCACATAAGGATATATGTATGTAGCACCTTACAGTGCAGAGGTGTCCAACTCAGACTACTCAATGCAGCCTCCTACTAGCCGAAGGCTTCAGCAGCGCCTGGAAGGACGATTCCAGAGCTTTCTTCAGCTCCTTATAGCTGACCACGAAGCAACTCTGCTCGTCGCGGCTGATCAAGGTGATTTTCTCGTCCGTGCCTGCGTCCAGCTTGTTCAGGCACATGAGCACATGGCCCAGGTCGACGACGGGGTCGCCCTGCGCGTCCACCTGGTGGAAGACGTAATCGCGGAAGATCTTCAAGAAGTACCGCTCGCCGTTCTCGGACCATTGTCGATCATGCTCGTACTCGGGTCGCTCGTTAACAAAGTTCAGCTTCGTCATGAGCCGGACGAGGCGGCCGTTCTCGAGTTCGCGACTCAGATCGGAGGTCAATTGGTCGTCTAGGTGAAGGGCAGAGTCGAAGGTCGACATCAGTGTCGATGAGATGCCGGTGATAAAAATGTCAATGTTTCTTTCCTGGTCTTTCTGGAGCCCGTTTAGCAGCCAGAAGACCGAGTTCTTCAGCTGCGCAGTGTATGCGCGTGTGAAGTGTTCCATGGCCTTGGTAGGGTTGTGCATAACATTGGGCTGGTTGGCGCCCAAAGTGACGATGAGCTGTCCAAAGTTGACCAGATCTTGCCGCTGGAGTTCGGCCAGAGATCGCTGAGTGTCGAATTGGACCACATCCATGATGGCGCAGGCGTTGAGACGAATGCGGTTCCGCCCAGTCAAGAGGATCTTGCTTGGGTCAATGATCCTGGCAGCCAATTGGCTGGCATGAATCGCTTTTAGAGCATTGGCAATCTGAGTCATGTAACCCCAGAGAACCTGTTCCGGGATGTGTGTGTTATGGCGACCCTGGAACCGGTTTCCGGCGCCGAGATGCTGCTCAGCCAGCGTCTTCGACAGTGGGTGATAGTCGGTGACGAAGATCAATGAGCTGTCCTGAAAGCTTCGGCTAGTAAACGCATCGTGGACTGTCACGACACTACCGTTGCATACACGCTTCCAAGCTTGCACGGAGCGAATGGCCTTTTCGTTCGTCAACCGGAAACCTGCAGACGTTAGTATCCAGATAATGGTATGAAAAGGATTAAAGTACCCTCGAGTCTCCGGAGAGCGTAAAAGTTCCCGTCCTTACTAGACTGAGCTTTGTACACCCAGCTGGGAAAGCCAAAGATGGTAGCATTCTTCTGATGGTTGAGATCGAGCGGGACAAGAGAGTGAAAGTAATCAACCTGAGCCGGTAGCTGAGTATCTAGTCTCAAGTCAGCATTATTAGCAAAACGTACTTATATGTCGGCAACGTACTTGGTAGTGTCTGGAGCGTGGCTGCCGCCTTCTTCTGCATTTCCTCCCGTAGGTCATTAGGGAGGAAAAGGTCGTGTACGTTTCGCTGATAGCCCAACGTATTCTGACTGTGAGGCCCGATCGGGGCATACATGTGATATTGGACCTGACACTTGGTTAAGATTTGTTATGTACCACAGATAAGAAGTGGCTTACTGGCTGCTGGAATCCAGACTGGTTGGCGAAGAACGCTGCTCCGTTCAGCGCTGCAGCAGTGTCATGCGAGAAAGGATTGGCCTGCACCGGGCCGACGGCGTTTGCTGCGGAGAGAGGATTCGGGGCGGTCACAAATGGGTCGAAAGCGCTCGTGCTAGGAACACCGGCAGTCCCGTTACCTTGCAGGGAGCCCTATTCCAATTAGTATTGCAAGCAAGTACACTTCGAGCAAGGTCACCACAACAGATGACATGCAGAAGCAGTCAACCTGCCTGGAGCACCTCAATCTGGCAGCCTTACTATATGTGCAGTATCAAAGCCCTGAGGCACAAACTCTTGTACCTCTGCCACAGACCAATCGGGAGTCATCGTACCCGGGCGAGTAGTAGGGGTGCTGGAGTTGGATCCTGATTGTAGTCAGATTCCGCTTCGCATCCCGGAAACCGTTAGGGCATACGTGATGATATACTTCTAGGTTGAAAGGGAGCTGCGCTCGCAGCCTTGGGCGAAATCGTAGCCATTTTTTTCATGGTCGCTGATTGGGAAGTGGGCGATGATCCATTCGACGACAATATGGATGGGGTAAAGCTGGGGGAGTCGACGTTCAGACGTTTCTTATTACTGCCAAATGGGTAAGTCATCTTCCTCTCTGACTCCAACATTGCGCGCCTCTCCCGGAAGTGCCAACCTGTCTGATTGATATCCTGAATTCACTTTATGCGGGTCGTGGTTGAAGGCGCACCCTTCACAAGCAATCGGACGGTTAGACGGATCCTAGCGAGCATGAAGTGGGACAATAGGCAAGGAATGGCTAAGCACCTTTATCTTCGTAGCGACATCGGCCATAAATGGTCACATTGCGACACAGCGTATCTTTGGCGTTCTCTGTAAGGTCAGGATGACGAACATGTTAGCTGATACAGCCGAAAGAAGCAAAGGCCGACGGGAGCATTGAATCATATTTCGTTGCCCCGAGCCGGCATTTGAATCATAATCCGACTAACCTCGTCCCTTCATTTTCGGAGACCCCGTACCATGACGGGCGTCTTCCAGCGTCGCAGACTTTCCCGTGGTAGCCATGATAGATTCGTTATCCACAGTTGGGCGCGGATCAACGGACAGGTATGTCCATTGAGTCAAGAAATATCGGACGACCTAAAATATCTAGAGGAAACCACATTCCTCAACGGAGAAGACCCGCAGACTAGCTCGACAACCCGAGATGCCCTCAGAGACGGTGTCGAGGCGATGTTCGCTGATGGCAGGGTAAATGTTCCGCAACAGCCAAGGACGGCTGAGATGGCGAGATCGGGCCCCCTTTCGAGCGTTAGACGGTGGGAACAGCCGAAACAATTGAGAAGATACGTCCGGAGACAGGAACGGACGAAGATCTCATGCCATGGATGGTGACAAGGCAGTAAGACCGCAAGGCAGCATCCGAACCAAGGGCGGCGCGGGGGGTAGAGGGAGGGGGAACTGGACGGGAGTGCGTCGAACTCCGTCCCGTGCACGGACCACTCGGGCGTCAAGCGCGCGTCTAGCGTGGCTCGCAGCGGCCATGACGGAGCTGTCCTTCTGAGGCCAGCTAGCAGCCTAGCACAGTATTATCGTTCCCCACGACTTCCCCTCCCTACCATCTCTCCTAGCCACATCCTGATCTGCGTCTGTGGTGGTCTACTGCATGACTTAAACATTCTTTAGGAGCTCGCTACTTTTTCTGCCCTTAGCTCCCCCTCTATATCCTTATTAGCTAGGCTATTCTGACGCACACGACTCCCGCGGCTCATCTATACCCCCATCACTCACGCCAGTTCCAGTTCCACTGGCCTCGCTGCTCCTTTCCAAGCCATTCTGTTCATGGATGATATCGTCAATTGACCATGTCCACCTCCGGGCTTGATATATCCCAACTCTCCGACAGCGAGAGGTCCGCTCTCGAGACTTATACTGCGGTCACCGGTCAGGAACATTCGGAAGCCATTCCTTTGTTGCGCCGCTCACAATGGAATGTGCAGGTAAGGCCGGATGATGACATACTACCTTCAGATGTCATGGGAACTAATCAGTCGCTGCTTTCAGATCGCCATCTCCAAGTTCTTTGACGGCGAAGGGCCGGATCCCGTCGAGGAAGCCCGCGCTGCTCTCAACTCCCCTCCTCCGCGACCCGCTCGACAGACACAAAACCTCATGACTGATGACATTGCTGCGCAATTTGCTCCGAATCCCCGTGCGGCCGAGCCAGCTCCTCGGATAAATACCCAACCTGAAGATCAATCGGTCTATCGCCCGCCTTTCATACTAGCTCTGCTGTTTACTCCGCTCAACCTCCTCTATCGACTACTCTACAGCTCCTTCCGCCTCTTTGGTGCCTTGTTTCCCTTCCTTCCGCGCTTCTTTAACACAACAGCGAATCCCGCTCTTCAAAGCTCCCGGAGAAATACCAACGGTCGCCGGCCCTTGAGTCCCAAAGATACGGCCGCCCGGTTCATCCGGGAATTCGAGGAGGAATATGGCACCAACTCGATCAGTTTCCTCGAGAACGGATATAATATGGCGTTGGAGAAAGCCCACCGGGACCTCAAATTCCTCCTAGTTGTGCTTCTTGCCCCCGAGCATGACGATACAAATGGCTGGGTCCGAGACACATTTCTATCTCGCGAAGTGACCGACTTTGTGAACGACCCGCAAAACGACTTGCTTGTCTGGGGAGGGAATGTTCAAGACTCTGAGGCTTACCAGATTGCCAACTCCATCCGCTGCACCAAGTTTCCCTTTGCAGCGGCACTAGTCCACACTCCGAATGTTTCCTCGAATGCGATGTCGGTTGTGTCGAGAATATCTGGAACAATGTCCCCTGCGGAGTTTGTAGAGAAACTCCGATCGGCAATCTCGCAGCACAAGGAGCCTCTCGAGCGCATCCGGTCAACCCGGGCGGAGCAGCAAGCTTCACGCAGCCTCCGTGAGCAGCAGGACTCCGCCTACGAGCGTTCTCTGGCCATTGACAGAGAGCGAGCGAGACAGAGGCGGGAAGCAGAGGCAGCCCGACAGAGGGAAGAGCAAGAGGCAGCAGAACGTCGAGCGGCCGAGGAGAAGCGCATACATGATCTCCAGCAATGGAAGCAATGGCGGGCACAAACCATCACCGAGGAACCCGGACCGGACGTCAAGGACGCTGTTCGCATTAGTATTCGACTGCCTTCTGGCGAGCGTGTCATCCGCAAGTTTGCGCCTGACGCGTCGCTTGACGAGCTCTACGCTTTTGTTGAATGCTACGATATCCTGAAGGAGCCAACAGAAAAGGCTGCGGAAGCAGTGAAGCCGGAGGGCTTCGAACACCAGTATGGGTTCCGGCTGGTTTCACCCATGCCGCGGGTGGTCTACGAAGTGGAGGCTGGGGGATCAGTGCGGGACAAGATCGGCCGAGGAGGGAACCTTCTAGTCGAACCGATCGATGACGACAGCGACGAGGAGGACGAAGAAGAGGCATAAAGCTCTTGGTCTGACGGTTGTAATTGTATTGTTTTCGCATCCTGGCTGCATGGCGCAAGAATGGAGCTGTCCGGGTGATTTGCAGAGACTTTCCAGCAACTTGACTGTCTTAGTATGTAATAACAAAGATCACGATAATGACACGGGAAAAGAAAGCCCCAACGGCCCAGTGACGCTATGCCACCCTGCAGGAAGAGCCTCTGTGCGCGGGTGTGGTTCCTAAACTCAATTTCTTGTAGCAGATGTGTGTAGTCATGTGCGGTTTGGGTTCCCCCGGGAGGCCCGACAGCACGGAATCTTGGCCATCCGAAGGCAGATGCAGAACGCGTTGCCCTCATTGTTTACTCTGCCAATTAAAATCGGTAGCGGCGTGTATCAGACATGATGAGCTCGTATGAGTCACATTGTTATCATTGTCGGGGCTGCATGCTGATCCTGCCGTGGCTTGACCTCAGACCGCACTTGTAACTTTATATTGAATCGGAAGTGATACAACACCCGATGGCGTGGAGTCAAGGCTTTGCACTTCCCGAAAAGGCAAATCCCGCCAGTGATGATGCTCGGAAAGATTAGGCAGGAAGAGCACGTACGCATTCATATATTGGGCATGTTAAGCAAGGAATCTCACCGTGTTGGGCGGTGATTGGAACTATCCGGAGTTTGGACATGAGTCTGAAGACAAGTCGTTGCGCTCTACCGAGTAGGTCATAGTAGGTACGAGATAACCGTTGACAGTAGGCGCACAGGGTTGGGTGAAGATTACCCACATGGATACGCAGGCCTGCTGTCATTCTGGGATCGCAGGTGCCACATATTCAGCCATCCCAGCAGCGATCATCTGTGGAGCGAGTACATGACACAGAGCCGCTCTTTATCTCGAGTCTGTAAGTAAGCTGCTAGTTAAAAGGCTACTAATGATCTAGAAAGAGGTGCATTAAGCTGGTCAAGCATGGGAATAGCTGAGTCATCCATAATTATCAAGGTGCACAAGGATCTGTACCGCAATCTCGGATCATGAGCTCTCCGATACGGTACCGTAAAGGGGGCAATTAAGGACTAATTGGCCGGGCCTCGGAAGGCTGGCGTCCCGCCCCACTCCACCCCACCCAAAACCTGCCATTCCCTTTCGGGACAATGGCCGCTCAGCCCCGAACCTTCGTTTTCGCCACGTTTTAGGGAAAATTCGCACACTTGGAAGCCTGGAAACCTGGAAACCTGGGTTGGCTTATTAGGGATCGGGATGAGTCTTACATTCGTGATTAACTATTGCGCGAAGGATCCGATCCCCTACGGAATGTTTCTGTGGTTGGTTGCTACGTAGCGTAAGCTTCTAGATAGGTCTATTTGTTGGGTTATTCTTTACTTTCTAGGTCGTAGTCTCAGGAATTCTTCCGAGCGACCTAACAATAGCTTGTGTGACGTGCGCGACATGTGACCCTTCACTTATCTTCATGCATGCAATCATCATACCTAATATTGCCTGAAGCATACTTGAGATTGCTGAAGTACACAACCATGTCCTGTATAGCGGTGAAAGTGAAAAATAAAGCAGCTAGAAATTCAACACTGTGTTGATTGAGATCTCTGGCTAACCGTCAGGGTCTATATACCACCATGGCCAGTGACCGTTCAGATGTCAAGACTAAATACAGTACTAGATATAGATAGCCGGGAGCTCAATAATTTCCGTCCCCAGATCATAGTATCATCGGCCTTAAACAGGGGTATCGAGGTGGGTATCTCCGGGACCACCAAAAAGTTTAGTATAGTACGGAGTAGTGCAAGGACATCTGAGCTTCCTAATGGAAGGCCTCGTTTAGCCTGCGTAAACGGCGTATTGTCGTATTGCCGCCGAAGGGAATACGCACGGAGAGGCCTACTTCAAGGTACCGAGAAAGAGGCCCACCACCGGCGCAGTCAATCCTGGGATCCGCCCGGATAACCTCTCGTTCCTGGCCCCGATTCGTCCAGAAGCCTCTCTTCAAAACTTTCACTATCTCAAGTCGCCATTCTGCGCTGCCTAAGACTAAAAACGGGGGGGAAGCCCAGACCTCTAAGACCCGCAATCGAAGTTTTTCCTGTCGCCCTTTCTCCTCTCTTATTTGCCGTTATTACTTTGCTATAATTTAGAGTGTTCAGTGTTACGGGGCACACGTCTTTTTGAGGGGGGCCC